CCTGTGTATAGCATAAATCAACAGAAATAGAGAGGATGTTACCATTAGTTTGCACTATCATTGTTGTCAAATGTGGAGGAGGAAGTAATCAAACCTTAAGCTAAACAAAAATACATTCTAAAATATTAGTAGTAAACGAGTGTGAACGAATACTTAAGTAATATAAAGTATGGCCCTTTACATTATTACTGCTGTATAGTGTAGGGCTGGGATTTTCATTCACCTCAACTGAAGAGACACTAGCTTTTTGATAAGACACTAGCTCCCTGTTTCCCTGCTTTGTAAGTATATTCTGCTTTATCACATTTTAGTAGGACGCAAACTCAACATTTCCCCCGTGAGTTTCACAGTAAAAGCCTGGCAGTTCAGGGGGTAAAGAATATTACCTTCCTGTTCCTGGAAGGCTTTAACTGTGAAAGTGTTGTTTCATTTTCTCTGACTAACTGTAAAGAAGTAGAATTGATCAGATTTAATCAGTGATTATAAACTCCCCCCCCCCCCCTGTTATGAAGTGACACCAACAACAGCAGAGTGATTGGAATGACAGTGTTGTGCTGTAGAAGTACACAGGAAGCAATTTGACAAATTTACTATGTGAGCCATTTTACAGGATGCTGAGTCTTACTTACTACATATTTCTTTCAAAATTTGAGACCTTACCAATACATGTTTTTGTCGATAGTTTGTGGTATATGGTGGTATATTTTACTGTTTTCTTTTGTATCTTACCTTCCTTTATGCCCTCCCACTCTATACTGACAGGATGCTTATTTAAGTCAAGGTTGAAAGGGAAGAGAATAATAGAATAAAAATCCAGTCTTTTGTTATGACGACATACATTTCTCAAACGCTCTGCGCCCATAGTAGAAACTTAATTTTCCCTGTAAAAGCCAATAAGAAAGATAGATAGATAGATAGATACATAGCTAGATATATTCACTTTCACATCCTCCCCTGATGCAGCCCACAAGACCTATACGTATTTTATAGTGGGTGTTTCAGATTAAGATTATCCTATATTCCACACATTTTACAATAGTCAAATCAAGTAAGACAGACTGAAAATTGACTTTTTGTTGAAAAACGGTTTTAGTTCAACAACTGCAAATGAGTCTGGTGAATAGATTACAATGACATCAGGAAATAACAGGGGTAGAGGACATACCCTCCATCAAACCAAGTAGTGGTGCTAATGTTACACAGGAGATATATACTCCATACACTCACACTCACACTCACACACACACACACACACACACACACACACACACACACACACACACAGAGCAATAGAAGCTGAGCATTTTACCATCAAACCCAGTCTATTTCTATGTAGGATATTATTTTGTAAAGTATTTGACCTTCAAAAAACTAATGATTCTGGAAAAATATTTTGTATGTTGATTTCTAGCCCACCTCTCTGATAGAGCAGCTCAACTGAGATTTCATTTGAAACCAATGGAAAGGTACTGGGTTGAAAAAAAAATGCCTTACTTCATGTGAGACAAAAGATTAGCCAAAGACAGTGATGTCTGAGAAGAAGTACAGTCAGTCTAAAAACGTCTCCCTGGCACTTATTGATTTTGCACTTTTACTCAGGCTAAGGTTTGCGGTGTTTTTGAAGTCGTTTGATTGAACCAAAAATGAGCTGCTTATTTCTGCCTTTTTTGTCTCATTGTGTGCCATAATGCTAATTTACATTCAACCCACGAAAACCCATTTCTACCAGAGATTTCACAATGATGCTCTTGAAGAAAGCAGTGGGTAGAATTAAGGTTTCTGTAATGAGCTTTTATTTAGCTTTGTATCTCTGTTGTGCAGACAGCTGGGCCATTTGAGGGTAAACTGTCAGACTGAGAGAAGTTCAGTCTCAAAACTTTCCCAGTGATTTTGAAGTGTTTGATCCAGTCGTGTTTGTTGGAAAATTCAGCTGATGTTATGTTGGGAACAGAGATGTGCATGTAGAGTATGCTGGAAGACCTTGCCTTTGCTGTTACGATTCTGAATGCTGCTCATGCCACAGGGTTTGTATTGATGTCTAAGATAAATTGAAAATGCGCTTCATGTATCGAATTCATGTACTGCTACAACTCATATCATTATTCCCTTAGTAAGAACAAGTACAACTGCAACATTTTAATTGGCTCAAAGCTGCTGTTCAGATGCATTTTAATAAAAAAGTATTGAACTACTACTGTTGAATTCACAGGGTCCACTACTCACTTATAGCATGTTTCAACATCTTGCTCAGCAAATATTATGTCAATGCACAGGACACACTGAATGTTCCTACTGAATATTTGCTGTTATGTAATTTCAGTAATTAACCTAAGCCCAAGGTGTGGTTTTTCCTCATAAATTACTACTTTAGATTGTGTGAAGACTTGTTGGCATCATCCGATTCACCACTTACATGCGCACACACACACACAACTGACTCATTCACTCCTCTACTGAGATTAGCCAGGATTTTCTCTGCGCTAAACTGTCCTGCCAGTGTGAACTGTAATTTCCTCTCAAGCTGCACACTGTAACAGAGACAGTCCGAGAAAGGCAGAGACAGAGAGTATGTTGTGAATGATGCTGGAATGACGAAAAGCCCTCCAAAAAATTGTTATCGAGTGATTTAGCGCTACTTTTAGTTATTCATCTTTTGAATGTTATTGAATTGATACTCTACAGGGTACAATACAGTATTGCAAGGAAACAGAGTGGCTGTAGTTCAGGTGGTGAAGCGGGTTGGTGGTTCAATCCCTGGCTCCTCCTGTTAACAAGTTGAAGAAAATGAACCACAATTTACCCATGTGCAAAATGTGAGGGGAAAAAATGTAGGTTGCTATGAACATAAGCAAGAACAATGTAACATAAAATTTAGCTTACACTACAATACTATCAAAATACATTATACACAATAATAATGGTGACATGGGCGATTTTGCAATATGTCGGGAGCAAATACACTAGATGTGTAGACACTTCACTTCATCCTTACATACCTAAGTGTAGGATTTTGTACTGAACTGTGAGTTTTGTCCAACACCACATAGTGCAGATCAGTGTCTGAGAAAATACAGTGTAGGCTGATGTAGACTTGCAGCTGATGCTGTTTTGCTGCGTTCATTGTGTGGCTTGTGTGGAGTATAGAGGGTGAGTCTTTTTAACACACACACGCGCATGCACGCACGCGCGCACACACAGGTGATCTGTCGGACTGCTGAAATGTTCCAGACTTGTCTGGAGGCTAGGAAGAATGTGCTAGTTATGCATCACAGTATTGCAATTTTGATGCCAGAAAAAGAGAACATTGCTCCCAGTGATACTACTCTGGTTAAATAAATGTAAAATGTAAAAACAATTAGGGTGAGGTATTGCTTATCAAATATTTGGTCCGACCTATTGTATTAAAATGTTTTTAATCAAAAGGTTGAAGGTATAATGTTTGAGACAATAGAGCAGCAGGGTAGAATGGGAAAAGAAAGACTGAAATCTGGCAGAATAAAATGTATGAGACAGGTTGATTTGTACTTCAAACAACAAAGATTCCACCCACATCTTAGTTGATAGTATTTGTCTGTTTTGTTTATTCTTTTTCCTTCATTATTCCTTATTCATTAAGACCCAAAAACTGAGTACCAGTCAGTTATCGTGCAACACATGAGATTTTCTATAATGAGTAATTTTATGCTTGTGTCTTCTCGTCAAAGCCCTGTCAATTTAGTTTCGTGAAGCACAAAATTGCCTTGAAAAATAAAGCTTTGAACTATTGATTCATTGCTTTGCTTTTGGGTATGCTTTGAATTATTCGGTAGACAGAAGCGCAGCAGTCAGACAAACTGCATATTCTGAGGCTGTTATGAGAAGTGATTGTCATCTGTATTATCGTTTGTAATTGTGTGAGATTTTTCCAAAAGCCTGTTCTGCTATCTGTGTCTGGATGTAAAGAATAATCTGTTGTTGAAGCTGTTGGAATGAGACAATCATGTGAAACAGTATTATAGTAAAAAGTCAATGATGGTGCTTATTAAATTGTTATTGTTCAGTCATAATGAAATTAAAAATATCATCCATAATAATTTCAAGTGTCCATCTTGGCATTCTGTTCTGTATAATATCTATTAAAGTTTCCCAAAGGTAGTGTTCATGGTGTGATTAGATAAGGTTACATTGCAGAGCTGTTCCTGGTATTGTGTTAAATTCCTGTACATTTATGTAGCCTGCCAAATTGGATATGTTATATCACAGTAACATAAATGAAATCTTTGTGTGCTGACATTTTAAGGTTTTTACGTCCCATAATATATTCTGGTGTGTATCAACAAAAAGCTGCTTTTTTGTTGCTAATACCAAACCACGTACAGAAAGATCCTGATTTATGTCAAATCAAAATTTAACAGGGGTATGTAAACACCTGTTCCTGAGTAAACGCAAAAAGAGGTTGCATCTGTATATGTGTGCATTCTGTTTTTTGTTTCTGAATCTATGCAGAGTATCATGTATCTCTGATGTCTAGAGTAGTGCTAAACAATTCGAAACCGTAATATGACCTACCGCAATTTTCAAATCACATGAGGCGCAATATTTATGAAAGGCAAAATGTGCATCAAAATACCATTTTAAATTAAATATTGTTGTGTTGCCGAGATGTCCTGGCCTACACATCATATTCTACAGAGTTAAGAAAACATCTTTGTTTGGTACAGATCCTCGCAAAAGTCTCACCATAATCATTTAAATATGTTTTTCAATGAGTGATTATGTAAAAATGATCATTCCTTCCAGTATTGCAAATCATATCGCAATTGCAATATTATTGCAATTAGATATTACTATTATAGGTAAAACTAGATATTTCTCTCCCAGCAATTGGTCTTAAAGAGCAAAAACACCTTTTCCCAGAGGCAGAATGATATAATGACTCTAATGCACTCATAATGTACCTGTAATGCTATCTAATGCCTTACAATGAAGTGAATGTTACCTGTGATTTTCGTGGTTTTCAGGATATCCTGAACAACCTGGACCCTCCGGGAACCGGAGAGTTGGACGATGATGACCTCATGCTAGATATGGACCTCCCAGAGGATGGCTTGCATGGTCAGCAGCACACACAGACACACACACATACACACACAACCATTTATGTAATTGCAGTTATCCTACACAGGATTTATAATTTGTGAGGTTATTCTGTGGCCATGGCAAATGCTTCAGTTTCATTTAAGCAGACACCTCCAGCAAAACTGTTCTGATCATAATTGTAAATTAATGCTTTAGCAAGGTCTGAGCATCCTATTTCCAGCAGTATCCCTTTATGGCATATAATGTCTTGAATAAATTGAATCCTGCCTTGCCTTGGGTAAAGATGTGCCTCTGCAACATCCATTTAAATCTTTTAATGGACACCTTGTTGTCTATTATGCGCTGTTACTCTTTTAATGTTTGGTTGCTGAAGAGTTATTAAATTACAGCTCCACCACTGCCACACAATAGGCCTTGAATGACAGCTAGGCAGCTGACTTGGAGAAGTATTCAGCCAGCTGAAACAGAGCCTGTCTGGCTCTGTATATATGAACAGATGCATATACAGGCTTAGTAGGAGCAGGGTTTGCATTGATTGCCTTGACAACAGCAGTATGCTGTTAGCATGATTAGTTAACTACTTACTATTCCAGATTACAGCACCCACTCCCATCTTGATAAAAAATCTATTGAAGTCTCAGGAGTTTTCTCTGTTACCCGTTTTTACTTTGTAAATGTAATCAATTACCAATCAGTAAAATGTCTTCTTTGTAGGTGTTAAAGGTAATCAGGTCACATTATTACCACATAATAATCGTGTTGACAACGTCAGTATGGATTCATCAGATAGTGTGTGTCACATATACGAGAGGAGGAGGGGAGAGGGAAATAGGGGTTGCGGAATACTGACCTCATCTTTCATGAAATATAATGAATTCTAGGAAATTAATTTTCCCTCGTCAGTCCTGAGGCCAGCCCTGTCAAAGTACCAATCATTGATTATGTGTTTGACACAGACAGGCTTGGTATGTATAAACAAGCACCACAAAATGCAATATACAGAGGGCACGGCATGGACATGGATTGGAACAATCACAATCATGTTCAGATTTTGTTGAAACTGTTTTAGAGAGGCGTTGATTCAACTTTATGGTCATTTTGGAGGATGTCGATTGTGGTGCTGTTGAATTGTAGTTTGTTACACAGGGAGGTATTTCTAAAATTACAGCCTCCAAAATGACCGTTAAGTTGAATCAACGCCATTCTAAAACAGCTTCAACAAAAAAACGAATATTACAACCTTCATGAAGGTAGAATTTATTACAGCCTGTTGTATTAGAGCGCATTAGCTTGACTAGGTGTACCTAATAAACCTTTCACTGGGTATAAATTACTGAGGCAGCTTTAGACTGACCCTGATATCATGCTTTAGTCTGTAAACAGTGATCGCCTTGTTTTTTGAGAGACAGGAGACAGAGAGAGAGAGAGGGAGAGGAATGTTCACTCCAGAGGAATGTTATTTAGAGTGTCGTCCTTCCTACTCCTTTTCGGGAAGTGGCCATATTTATAGTGCTCTATGTCATGGCTAGAGCTAGAGTCATGAGAGGCAGAGTGAAAGCACAGAAGTGTCCAGTTAGACCCAGCCCACAGGGCAGGCCCTGAGATGTGGGATAGGGTAGGGTGTTTTCCCCCTACCAAAGACACACTGCCACAGAACAGGAAGAGGGGAAGTAGAGTATAAAAAAAGGTCCCATGACAGGAGAGAGGCCCCAGCTTTTCTCCCTTGACTGCCTCTGCTTGGATACTAACCAGCCACCTCAGCTGCACTCTCACCACCACCACAGTCATCTCTCCCCAGTTCCAGTTCCTTGGGAGTTCCCAGAAAAACAAAGCTGTCAACAAAGACAGAACCAGGCAGGCTGGGAGCTGTGTTGACTTTCTCCCTCTGGCCCTTTAACTGCTCACCCAGCTGACTGGACACCGAGTCATTTCTCTTCACTCTCTGTCTGAGTTTTTCTGCCATTATGGATTGTTTTTTCCAAGTTGGAATATATTCCGATTTTATTACATTTTAGAGGGCGTTTTATGAGCTGAACAGGAGTTATTGAGAGCGCTCAAGTTTCCTGGAATGTAACAGTTAAAATGAAACCGGCTGTCTGCTCCTGTGCTATGTGGTGACACTAAGGGTAAAGTATTTTAACCACCACCACTGCATTCTTTGGATTGGGTCTTTCAATCTGCCAATATTTATTTATCTATCCCTTTTTTCTCTCTTTCTCAATTTGCTATATAGAGTCAAGGGTCCTTTTGATTTCCTGTGGGTCGCGCTCTGTTAGTTGTCAATTTTGTTGCGGCCATGGTTCATTTCACAGCTATATGCTATTGAGTGTTGCCAAATACTGTGTCCTTTTACCTCCTTGAAAATGAAATGGCCTGCCACTGTGTGTGTGAGAGCATGTTTGCATCTGACGGTGGAGACAGTTGAGAGAAATAGAGAATGAGATAGATCAGGATTTAAATGCATATTCTAGAATAGAGTATTTTATATATACACAGCAGTATTTTAGCAGTAGCACTTTTTGTGTTGTGTGTGTGTGTGTGTGTGTGTGTGTGTGTGTATACCTTAGAGTGGCAGAGAAAATAAAGAAAAACAAATTCCATTATTTGCTAAATACTGCTCATCTTTAACCACAAACACGTACTAGTTTTACACAAATAATAGCAGAAACAGAAGTGATTTTCTTGAACCTTTGTTTCTTTTTGTGCATCTATACTGCACCTACAGTATATCAACAACACTGATATACAACACTGGTGTGATAGCATTGTTTATATGCTCTTTAATCTCTCACTTGCATCCTCTCTGTTTCAGACATTCAGGCACTTAAGTTTCTTTTACTCTAGCTCACCTTCTCTTCCCTATACAGACACTGACAGGATGTCCCACATTGAGCGCTCAGAGAGGGCTGGTCGGCAGTGGCAGCGACGTAAACACCACCGCTGGAGTGGACCAGATAACTTCCACAGTGATAACAGGTTGGTTGGGCTTGAAAGATTTTTTAAAAATTTCAAGAAAAGAAGTAAAAAGTATTAATTAAAAACATAATTAAGTCAACATCATTCTGTTTTTCTATCTTTCTCTCTGGCTATTTGTCTCTATTTCAGGGCCCATGTCTTCCAGCACTATGATGGTCTGAAGGCTTCAAGGATCTCTTCACGGCCCGTCCCCACTGAAGACAGACAGCATCGCTACATGACGATGCTGGATGACCTCACACTCGAACACATGACCCAAGACTGCAGCTCCCTCAAGAACCAGCTGCTCAGGCTCAAAACGTTACTGCAGGTTAGATCCAGATTTGCAAAAAGATGTGAACGAACACAAACTCATATGCTTACCAAAACTTGCACACTCTTACACATATGTATGCACATACTGTACAGTACTACAGGACATTAACACATATATATATTTGGTAGGTTCATGCACATACACATACACTGTATGTGTTCATTATGTACTGTCCAGTGATAGAAAACTCTGTGACGCTCATATGTCTGTCATCTGTCTAATGCTGTTGCATCACCCTTTGAATGAGTCACACACAAATAACATGCCAGTCATGTCACCACTCCCAGGCTTTTATTTTGGTATTATAATTAGACCACATACTGTGAATTTCCACGATTTGGAGTTTGATTTCAGCTGCTGCTTTGTCTATTAAATACAGCTTTATATTATTTTACTAGAGGGTTAATTTTGAATAATCTTCTTAGGTTTGTCAGGTGTTCACTGCATCACTGTCCTCAGGTGTTCAGCATGAGCAGCATTTGTGGGGTTTTTCTCAGGTTATTAGATGCTCTGGGCTTCCTTCTTTATAAAGTATATATCTGTGCTTGTGTGGAACTCTTAATAGATCGTTTTCCGTAAGTACGTCAGTCAGAGAAATCCATTTAATGGGAAGAAAGAAAGGTTGACAGAGGAAGTAGAAGAGAGAAATAAAAGATCCCAGCTATAGAAATGTGCTCTTACATATGAGATGAACACACCAAAGCCACACTCCTACAAAACACACAACCCCATCTTGGAAATTGCCAAAATGCACGGAGGCACTTCACACTATGAAAAAAAAATGAAATTATCTTGAATGCCTTGACTCAATTTACCCTCTATAGCATAAAAAGTGTTATTTGCGTTTGCACTTAAATCAAAGGTCCCATTCAGATGTGTTCATTGTGCTCACTTCAATTAGTCAAACACTTTGGCTGTATAGCCTGAAGAGGGAAAATATTTCTCTTGGCCCATTAGTTACTCTGCTCTTAATTGTGTTTTTTTAGTATGATGTTGAGCTTAAGGCAGCAATGGTAAAAGGAGCCTCCAGCCTTGTTGAATCTTAAGTGATCTTTGCTTTTTTGTGTCATGCTAGTTTTAAAGAAACTAATCTACCTGAACTGAATGAGGAGCAGGTAGAATGTAGTGTTGAAATAAAATGTATATTTCAAGTAGTTGACTGAGCATCTATCGACAACAATTTGTTAATTTTTAAAAATGTGAGGATTCACTTTTCATAAAATTTCAGGTTATTGTGTGTACATGATACAATCCAAGAATGTAAGTGGAGTGTTGCACTGAATATTCTGTGTTGTTTGGTAAAAAAAATCACCAGTGTTGCATTTATTAAACGTATTGAATTGAATACTCAAAAACATACTTACTAACTCTGCCTCAGGTATCTAACATTGGTAGCTGATAGTTCAGGGTCAGGAGAGCATATGTGCTAAAGAGTAAACTTATTAACTTTGCTCTTGAGGCCTGCCTAAGGCAGTTGTCATTGATCCAGCTCACTGTGTACTCTGTGTCTGTGTGCGTTTGTTTGTTTGTTTCCAGCTTGAGGATACAGACTCTGAAGCAGATGTTCCTGAGGAGATTGAAGATAATACCACTGCATCACAGGTAAGAAACTGTTACCTTAGATTTATAGCAGTGAACGATTGGACATGCTGTATATATACAGTATATTTTTAAAATTTTTCTCCATTTTCAAACCGAGGTAGTCCACTAGAACCTACAGTATTCATAATTTTCACGTGATGTCACATTCCAAGGAAAACACTCCCTTGGAGGGCAAAAAAGACATTATTTTCCGATGCCCACCAACCAGGAAGCAAGTGACACACTGTTACCTTGTTTGTTACTTTTGCGTTGCCAAAATGCTGGGTGGTTGTTGTGCTTTCAGATGCACTAATCGAGGAGGAGACAAGCCTGAGCTGTGTTAGGTGAGGTAGGTGAGGGATTCCATAGAAGGTAAACGTAAACATTACAGTCGAGTGCTGGCATGGACCTGGCGGTTTTTAACATCAGAAATACGGCAGGGGGTGCTTTATATGGATCGCAAGTGCCCAAGACTCCATATCTATCTTTTTCTTGACTTGAGAGGTGATCCAAATAAAATTTATCGGCTTTTGCGGCGTCTCTACGAGGGAGTCCGGTGTGAGCCACTATCTTGGTCTGTTGTTTTGCCCTCCAGGTCACTGCCCATGTCAAGTGACTTAAAACTGAATACTGTATGTGTGTATGTTTTCAGTTGGAGGAGCTGATTAAGGAAGTGCAGGTGCTCAGAAAGGAGCTGAGGAGTCGAGACAAGACCATTGCTCAGCTCACATTACAGTGTCAACAGCTACAACAACAACATCAGCGGAAAGAAATGGTGAGTTGTTGTGAACAGGACTTATACAAGTCTGAAAAAGGGACTGTACCATATGGGGAGAAATATAGAAATATATACAGTGTAACCATTCAAGTCCAGAAATACATTGTCCCCCTGCCTGAGGTTTAGGACTGTGGCAGAATTGTATGGTCTGGCAGAGTACATGCCAAAAACGTCTACAGGTGCTGGATTGAAAAACAACTTGAAGTAAAAAGATCCCCACACTGTCCTGATAACCCCCAGCAAATTTGACAATTGCCAAATAGGTTTGACAACGCCTCTGTTGGATCAAAACGTTGCTCTCTTATATTAAATTAGCTGGGAGCTATGAGCACAGTGTGCTGATCTTTTGCAGAGCATGTGAGTTATTACTGGTGTCAATGTCTGTTGTTTGATGTTTTAAAGGTATTAAATATAGTATTTTTATTTGAAGTATGAGTCATTAGGGAAATTAGGCACAGACAAGATCATGGCTGAGAGGATTGGCAGCATGTACAATCAAAAATTTATCTCATTGGGCAACAAATGAACCCTCTATCTTTTTCTTGTCAGGAAAAAAAGGGAGAAACATCAGGAAGAGCAAAAGAGGAGCCCTCTGTTAGGAGGGACAGGCATGCAATTAGTTTTGTATATACTGAATGGACAGAAACAGAATGACAGTATTAGATAAATTCCGTGCAAATACCAGACAAGACCTTGACAATGGCCGCAAATGCATGGTTTAGACTACATGTTATCTCAACAGAAAGTATATTTGCTGTTACGAAATGTTATGAAGGAGCTCCACTGTAGGGAACATAACAGCATCCTCTTTATGATGCAAAACTTTGAAATATAGTGTACATTTAAAAAAAAAAAACATTCTATGAATAAGTCTCAGAATAGTCATAAATATGGTGACGCTCAACACTGATAGAAAGTAAATGACCAAGGCTTTTACACTGTGTATGTCCGTGCAACATAAAGAATAGCAATACAGGGTCTTTGCCAACTACAGTAATCCATGATCGGGCCATGTGTTACATGAGCACTTACAAATGGGGCAATAGTAGCTCCATTGCTCATGTTTAGCTTTCATGTGCTGCAAGCATGTGGCTTCTAGTAGTTCACCAATACTCTGAACAGATCTGAGATATAGTTAAGCATGTCCTTCCCTTGCCTTTGTTTAATCCAATTCCAGATTTTTCAGATCTTATAAAGAGAGAAAGCATGACAAGAAGGAATAGGATATACAAAGAGGGGAGAAATGATTTTCTGTAAATGTAACCAACCTGTGTTTTATAGGATATTGAAAACAGAGAAGTATTTAAAAACAGACAGTGTTGAAGGGAAGTGGTACATGTACAGATCCACCATTCAGCCATCCAGTGGGTGCCTACCAATAACCTTTGTTCTCTTTGTTTTTTGCTGGCTCCATCTCCACTCTTAACATTCATTAGTGTCTTGACCAGGCTCCCTTGTTAGCCAACAACCGTATGCTTTGCTGACATTATTCAAATCCCCACTGTTTTGAAAATACCAAAATGTGGCGTGTCCGCCAGCCTCCCTGCCTCTATCCAATTATAATAAGCACCCACCCACTGCAGGTTCTTCAATCCAGCACATTGTTGCACCATCACCCTTGACAAGCGAAGAGAGTAAGAAAAAGCTAGGACATATTTTCAGATCTGACATTAATGAGTGTAGAGGCGGAAAGAGTGAAGATGTTGGGGGAAGTAGATAAAAGTTAAAGTAACAGATATTTACTCTGCTGTTTCATTGTTGAAGCACTCAGCGGGCACGCAAAGTTAGGTTAGAGTAATGCTGAAGAGGGTTTGTGTTCTCGTGGTCTCTGATGTCCCCGCAGTACAGAGTTGAATAGTAGTGAAGCCAAAAAAACAAACGCATAAGGCTTGAATCAGTTGAATGTGCTGACGAACCCTGCATTGTTGGTTGTTAGAAAATAACAATTCGAACAACACCGGTTCAGAGTTTGTATAGAGTCTGACAGTCATCTAGTTTGTATTGGTGTCCAGAATTTATTTTTTTAACCTTTATTCAGGGGAGCTTCACTGAGCGGAAGCCTCTCTTTTGCAAGAAGGCCCTGATCACATTCACACCTGGAAGCTGCCCAGTACAACCACAGCCTGGTCTGCTGGCCACTAAGCAGGCTAAGCTGTTGGGGTGCTCTTGCTATAGGGCACCTCAGTGGTGGTAAATGAGGGAGGGCAAACACTGCTTGGTTTACTTTCCACACCCAGGTTTTATCCTGCCGGTTCGGGGATTGAACCTTTGGGCCACCACTGCCCAAGGAAGTCAGAGGCAATTTGATCTGCTTGAAATTGGTTAAAAGATAATATTGCAGTTGGTAAAGAGTCAAGTTAACAGAGTGAGGTGAACTGTTGAAGAGAAACTGCTGAGAGACAGAAGGGGGGAACAGTTGACGGAACTGAACATAATGGAGTAATGAGAAAACAATAGAGGAGCTGTGTGTGGCAGGGGGAAAGTCTGTTGCAGTATACAATGTGTGTGCGCGGTGTGTGTGTTTTCATGAGGAGGGCTGAGAGGAGAGAAAATGAAATAATGGGAGAGAGAAAAGTGGAACTATCAAAGATAGAAAACTGATTTCTCTGTCTTACTTGACAGAATGCAGTTTTGGTTGCTGCTTCCACTGCTGTTGAGGCAGACTGCTCATGATTATGCCCTCTTCTTGTTTGAGCGGCATTGAAGTTTTCACCAAGGCTGGCAAAAACAAGAAATTTTTGTCATTTTCTGCCATAGTCTATGCAGCCAGGCTGCTGTTGCTCCATTTATTCATGTGTAAGAGAGACAATATGAGATTTAGTGCTAGATTCTTTAAAAAAAACTGATGATTTAATGAACATCATTATTTGCTCTGATGTTCTATATAAATATTGGATTGACTTAAAAGTTTGGGTTAAAAAAAGGCTAATATTTGTCTCGAAGTGTATTACTTACATTAGATAGGTTTGTCGCTAAACGTTTTAACAGATGAAAAAGGAGGTAATTTGGGTGAACATGTGCTTAATCTAAATAGTCAGTGAGTTTAATAAATTGCAGGATCTCTAAATAACCATGTAAGGGTAATTCTAGCCATTTACAACCTGGGCGTGATTTTCCCTGATTTGGCCATCATGCCTGTCAGTTGTAATCAAAACTGTGTGATAATTTGCTGACTTCCACTTTTCCTCCATTTTTGTCCTGAAAAAGTGGAGAAACAGGATATTTCATTGCCTCAGCATAGAAATATTCATTGATTTTTGTCCTCCTACCTTCAGTTTATTTGATTAATTTAAAACCAGCCAACTGCAGCAGATATTTTTTCTTTTGTCAGTTTGTTCAGTTCATAAATCTGTATATTCTGTATTAAATTGATTGAAACCAACAACAGATTCTCACACACACACAGATTTTTTTTCATGATGTTTTTTCATACTCTTCTGAGTATCTTAGCAAATATCTATTTAAGAGTTGAATTAAGGTGAGTCCAATTACACTGTGTGTGTTGGTATTGAAAGGGACATGCTTTAAGTACTTTTGTTTTGCCTTTTAAAGTTGTTCTTTGCCCTGTTTAATTTTGACTGTTGTACAAAGTGACAAGCTTTTAACCGGCCCAGGTTAAAAACAAGACAAATACTATAACATTCAGTGATTATGTAATAAGCTTTCTTTCATTGATTCATTTACCCTTGCCCTCTCAGCCTGCTCAAGGACGGCAGTTCAGGTGTCAATGCCACCACCAGAGGGCTCCCTCTTCACTACGACAGAGTGACAGACAGATGGACAAAGGGATGCTGCATCACTATGACAAGGCCACGCAGACATACTGGAGACCCCCGAACCATGCTGTGAGTCCAAACATTCACAGCACCCTTAACGCCAGTCCTGAGCAGTGCTCTCTTTGCTTTGCAAAACATGATTTCTAAAATCTGAAACTGGTTAAGCTCAAAATGTGTACATTTCAACTTATTTCTAAAATTTCCAAGATAATATTACATACCAACATATGCCTGGTGCTCATCTCAGCTTAACAATCACATTTGGATACACTGGTGACCAAGCACATGTGAGCAGTATGTTGCTGAGTCATTCTACTCCGCTGCCTCTCTCTGGCCAGCCTGTCTGAATTGTTAGATGACTACACGATGTCCTCTCTATGGAATACAGTTTATTAGGTTGTCAGTGGGATTGCCACTCTGTCTCACACTCTTGATGCCCACATCTCACACTGAACAGGGGCTGGTGTTAATGTTCAAGTGATGGAGAAAGAGAAGATGTACAATAGGGGGAGGGGGGGATTAATGGGAGGAAGGAAGTAGACAGAGAAAGGTAGAAGATGGATATATATATATGTGTTCAGTGTGTTCAGTATCATGCCATAATAGCATGCCAGCCAAGTATTGATTCAATAGCAGGAGTGCCACAGGCAGGGTGCCTAGTAAACACTCTCCTAACTGACCTGCTCTCAGCTAAAGGGGTGACACACACATAAAGAGGCAGACATCAGCAGTATAACATACAGAAAAGAAAATAATTATATTTATTTAAATATATACCAAAGAGTTTTTCTGTGTTGTTGGTATAATTGTAATAATAAATGATAGAAATGAGGCTTGGCCAATTGGTTTATCAACAGTGGTTAAAAGGTATTGGTCAAAAGTCTATTTTAACGTAGTACATGTAGGCTCCAGAGGAAAAAAAGAAAAGGACAGAACAAGCAAGCTCACTAACTACAATAGGTTCGTGGTTTAACAGTTGCTATGACAACCATCAAAGCAGGGCTAGCTGTGCTCGATGGGAATCATCTCCGTGGTGGGAACATATACCTGTGACCTGTAGTGCCTGGTGTATAATAACACGCTAGAACATTAAACACAGTAAGACTGAGTTTGTGCTTTTCTCTCTACTCTGTCTACTCCTGTCTTTGTTTGCCATTGCCCCACCTTTATTCTTCCTGTAATCTACATTACTAAATCATCACCAGAGTGGGTACTATTTCCTGCACTGTGTTTTGCTGCATTGTGGGCACAAACTCATTAGCACACCTTGTTAGTGACATTTTACTTTTCAGAGCATGCAATTGCCCTGGAAGGTGAGGTTTTTGTCGCGGTTTCTGACAAGGTAACAAGAGAAGAGAGCACAGGTAAACAAATAACAGTGAGAAAGGGATGTTTCTTTCTCTGTTTTTCTTGCATTTAAATAGTATCAAAGCTCTTGTTGTCGCACTGACAGGTTTAGCACCTTCAGCAAGCTTGGGTTCACAGTGTCCCTCTTACAGTGCTTCACTTTTATATCTTGTGTTTTTTCACACCATCTTTCAGTATATTTTCCAGTCTGTCTCTCAAGCTTTTTCTCTTTCTAACCCTTTCTAACCTAAGCCATTTTTTTACACAATTATTATTTTCTTTTAAGCATCTCACACATTCATTCAGTCCCTCTTTATTTCACTTTTCCTCCAACACACACATACAAACAGAGGCACACACAAATTCATAATCTGGAGTCATCTTTATTGTTTTTTTTCCCCTCTTGCTCTCTGAAATGCCCTTTCCCGTTGATTTTCTACTCCTCTGACATTTAAAGTGCCACTGTATCTGAGCACTGGAGTAGCTCTTGCCCTCTGATAGTATTTTTGAGTGCTAAGCTGAAAGGATCAGCCAAGAATAACTTTGATGTCAAAGGCCAGTAGCTATAATCTTTTTATAGCTTTAATGCTGATATGTAGTTTCCTTATCAGTAGCCTAGAGGGTAAAATGTTCACCCTTTTATTGGGAGGTCAAGAGTTAAGTCCCTGGCTGAGTCCTGCCAACAACTTGAGCATGGACTTCATGGGTAGCTCCCTGTGGTCAGATTAAGAGTATAACAAAAGACTAAGCTTGTGGCCTATGACCTTGGACATGGCTATTTAAGGACATTTACTTTTACAGTACAGTTCATTGTTCATGCAGCACTTTCAAGCAGTTAATATGATATGATACATTCTCCTCAAGCGAGCCATTCATTCACATAATATTTTCTCAGGGACCAAATTATTGTGGGCTGTTGCTCTGTGGGCTGCTTTAACCAATTTCACATTTTGTGGAGACCAGGGACGTACTCATCTCCTAACTTCTTCACAGTCTGTAGGAAGGCTTTGGCAACATATTCTAACCAACTGCTTTTGGCACCAGCACCTGCAGCTTCCCGTTTTAATCTGCTTACAATCCAATTTTGTGTCCAAAAGCATGCTCAGGAAAAAACAGTGTCTCACAATAGGGAATGAGTATATGTCTGTCAATGTACAAGATGCAGACAAATATTGGAGACACTTGCAAAACACACATGTGATGTGACATTAGAAACTACTTAAATGTCACTTGTAGAAAAATAATCTACTTGTCTAGCTCTCCAGAGCAATCACAGCAGCAGAGATATTGCCTCCTCTGCCTTTCGCAACAAATAAAACACGAGCAGCATGATTTTTTTAGTAATTTCAGATGTAGCACAAAAGAAAACTACATAGGCTTGTGTTTGTGTGTGTAATTGTTTTGGTTTTTGTTTGGTGTCTGTTTGTGTCTGAGAGAGACCCTAATTGTCTGCATATGTTTGTGTGTTTAGTGTGTGTGTGTGTGTGTGTGTGTGTGTCTGTGTCTGTGTTTGTGTTTGTGTGTTCATGAGCGGGATGTGCCACATGTACCTCTTGTACTCAAGTGCAGGGCACACTCAGTGTGACTGAACAATGAGTTCAACAGACTGAGGACTGGGGAGCCAACCTTGTTAATAACCCAGATAAACAAACACGCAGATGAGCAGCAGCAGTGAAACAATGGCAACACAATAGGCAGTTTTTCATCAGTGGCAGACAGTGAAGATAATTACAGCTACCCTCCTACTCCCTCTGTGCCTTTTAAATATCCACTTCTTCTTCTTCTTCTGTCCTCACACCTCCCTTCATGTCTTTTTATCGGTCCTGCTCTCTCACTCTGTTATTTTCTTTCTTTCTTTCTTGCTTCAGTGATTTCTTTCTTTGCCTGTATTTTTGTCTCTGTCAGTCTTTCTTTGACATTACCTCTCTACTTCTCACCTCAGATGTAATTAGATCAGTTTGCTGTCACTGAGAGAGAGAGGGAGAGAGAGAGAGAGAGAGAGAGAGAGAACATGGAAGGGAGAGACAGTTTGATTGAACAAGGTTAGTGATCAGTGCTAAGCTGTAGGTTGAAAGAACAGGTTTTCCCCTCTCAGATCCTGACATTACCTCTCCACCCACATCCCCTCTGTCTGCCACCTTGCGTCACAGACACACCATTAATACTCAATGCACAGCAGAGTCATCTTGGACAGGTGAAGATTTAATTGCCAAAGTCAGTGAAATGAGACATTGTGGCCAGGCCTGAGGTATTAGCTGTAGCCAACCATGAGAAGCTCTGTGTAGTGGATTAGGGGATTCAAGCAGAGAGATGCCGTTGTAAAGGCGCGGCATCATGGCTTCTTCTAAATTCTGTTGTTATTTGATGAAAAGGGTGTAGGATCACAAAGAACCTTTACTTGACTTTTAAATTCTTGTCCTACTTCATTAAGTTTCACCATCTGCTTTGGGGACTATGCACAGACAAAGTATTTGAACAAATCCTGAGAGTCCAATGGATGAAAGGTGGCCTCTAGAGAACTACTACCAGTACTGATATAGTAGTTTTTTGTTAGAATGACATTTCAAACAGAACTGCTTTATTTTATGTATTATTTATTATTGTTCTGCCCTTTCATTTCTTTTTACATTCTCCGCTAAATATCATTCAAGCTCTTTTGCCATACCATGAACCATGTTTTTTTTAGCCTTTATCTAGCATCTAGTTTTTTTAGGCACAAACCTGAAAATGACACCTCCACAGAAAAGTGTTTCCTGTTCTTAAACTCTTTCGAATTGATAATTTGTGAACTTGAAGTGCAGATGTAACTGGATTGAAGATTTTTTATCATAGATTTTTTAAACCCATTTTCTTAAAATTTGCCACCAAATTCCACGTGTACTTCATTTCTCGGCACTGCTAACTCTAATGTTGTTTCTTGAGAGTGCTGCAAAAGACATGCGCTTCCTCCACTACCTCGTACGCTTTACCTGGACGGTGTAATGCGTGGGTGGTTTAGGCTGTCCCTATAGTGCCTGGGCCGTAGTTCACAACCACTGTCCAGGCATGACCAACCAGAGCAGTCGCGTTCATGTGAAGGATCCGAGCCAGAAGTTCTATCATCAGGCACCGAACCCAGGGTCTCTGTGCTGGTGGGTAAGAAATGAAAGAAGTTTTGGTGAAATTGATGGAATGTGAAAAACATCTATATTTTCCCAATTTCTGTCTCCCTGCCCTCATGAATCTCCGTAAACCTTTCACTGGAGCGCCTTTACAGTGATGGAAAACTGGAAAATTGACATGCTAAGCTGCTGTGGAGGTCTAATAAAGCTGCCGGACACTGTCAGAATGGTTTGAAAGCCCTCTAACATGCCGTCTTGTTCTCATCGCCTAAGGTTTTTCTCTCTGCAAATGAAGCCGCAATGGGAGGGTGCTTCTGCCCAGACCTCCCGCTAAAGCAGTTGTTGGTGTTCAAGGAAGGACATGGATGAGAGCAGATCAGGGAAACTCATTCCTCCCCCCTCCAACAGTTACTTTAGGAGGTCTCTGAAATAGCCTGGACTGGACCTGCTGGGAAGTTGTTACCGGCCCCTTCTCGTGTTCTATCTCTCTCTTGCGTTTCTCCTTCCCTCTGACAGATTTGGTGCTTCTCTCTACTATATTAGAGACTTATTTCAGCGGCTGCCCTCTCCACAGCTGAGAAAAGGAGTAGCATTTGATAAGGTTTTGTTCTGGCTGTGTGT